TTGTATGGAATAATTTAAATTCCTTTAAACGCATATTATTGATGAATTCATAAGGCAGACTTCCTTACCAATTTTCTGTCCAAGTATATGATAGAAAAGTGAAAATAACTGGCCAATAGGATCGTTCGATTTCTCTTTGCTACTCCAGTACATTGCTAGCTGTAGGCCGCAGCTTTTGGATTGAGAGCTACAGTACTAGAATGTGATCCCTTGCTTCTATCCGCACGCTTGAGCCTGGGCGATGGTCATGCAGTACGACTTGGTCCTCGTTCTTGTCGCAGCATAGGTAGTGGTTGTTCTTAGCGTAGTGGGCGCTCCGGTGGAAGTGCTGGGCTCGGGTGCCGTCGCACATGCCCCCGACTTTGGTCGTCTTACTAGTTTTGCATCTTGGCATAAACCAAGTAATCACATGGGCCAAGCTTGTCAACTACTGGTAACGTTACTGTAAATAGGTCGTTTACAGCAATTTACTCGTTGATCCCGAAACCCCGAAACGTCGCGGGCAAACGACTTGATTTGGTCAAACTTTTGGTGACTATGCCCCGATAATATGAATCTTACTGACGGTAGTTTTACCCATCACTTCCTCATTTTGACTTGGAAGGACCTTGGGTGTTGGCCCCAGTCTACCGAAACCATGAAGTAGTAGTGAAACGAGAAATTCGCATCGACCATTCGTCATTCGATGTCGACTTCAATAAGCACTAAGTGCGATGAACTGCTGACATGAGCATTAAGCTGATGGTGGCACGAGTTGTTTGAAGTCGCTTGGGAACTTGGTACTTCTGCATTTTTGCAGTCGATAAAAATGATCGTTGTGACCAATTATATGGTAAAGAAACCATGATGCACTCTGATTGGTTAATAATCATAAGTAAGGCCAGCCACCTTAAGAATTCCAGAAACAAGTCAACTACTGTAATCAGAACTCCAGCGTGATTCAAACAACCTTGATTAGACAAACCACACTCATTTTGGAAGTGCTTAGCGAATTCACAATACTACGTAACGTTAGTAACGTTAGTATATGACTGGCAGTTTCAAAGTTGTTTCGAAACGCCTAGCGATCTTTTTCATTGAGTGTTTTCGTCCAAGCCGACCAGCAACATGCAACAAGACGCTGTGGCGGTTGTGGTCGTGTTTGTAGCCAACATCCTCGCGTATGGCTTTCGGAGTCTCCTACCTAGCACTCCGTTAACCGCACAAGCGTTTTTGCTCGACTCGATTGCGTCGTCGACCACCCAATCGTCGTGGAAACTGTTCGGAGTGCTGGAATCGACCTTCATCGCGACGTACGCCCTCTCGTTCCTCGTATGCGCCCATGTCTCCCGCACATGTCGCAGTCCGTTGCGGGTGTTGTTGACGGGGTTGCTGGCCTGGTGTGGCGGCGCGGTGTTGTGTGGCTACTTCGTCACGAACAAAAGTTCATTCCGCTTTCAGCTGGTCCTGGGGGGTCGCGTGCTCAGTGGCATAGGCGACGGCATGTTGCAGGCGTTGACCCCTTCCATCATTGAACGTGTGGCCCTTGAACACCATCGCCAGCGATGGATGCGACTGTATTTCGCTGGCGCGGCAATTGGTACTGGACTGGGGTACGGTGTGGGCAACGTGGTCACGGCAGCGTATGGTTGGCAGTGGGCGTTCTACGGGTACACCGCTGCCATGAGCACGGTCCTGTTGTTGTTGTGTGGAGCTTGCTTGTCCCAGCAGTGGACCCATCGGCGGTTGCCCAAACCAGCCCCACAGGAATCCGCAGCAACGATACAAGCTGACGAAGCCGTGTCGCTCTTGCTGTCCCCCACCTACATTTTCACGTCGCTGGGTGCCGCCGCAACCCTCTTCACATTGCGAGCGCTGGCGACGTACATGCCAACGTGGTGGCTCTATGCCCGCATTTGGCCAACTGAACAAATGGCAGCGACAGTGTACGGGGGTGTTGTCACGGTCACGGCGTTGGTAGCTGCTCCGTTGGGGGGATACTTACTAACGTGGGCATCCCGACGATGCGTGTGCGACGCGAGTCAGCTTCGCGTGGCGTGTCGCCAGCAGCTCCTTCACGTCGCGATTGGCGTCGGTAGTTTGGTTGGGATGACGACTTTGTTGGAAAATCAAGGCTGGACCCTTGTGACCCTCGTGGTGGGGCTCGTGAGTGCGTCGGGGGCGTTGAATGCCACGTCAGTCGTGGTGTTGCTGAGTGTCCAAAATGGGGGACGAAGTCGAGCCATGCAGACGTTTGCCGTGGTCGTGCACTTGTGCGGAGACATTCCGGCGCCCGTGCTTGTGGGGTGGTTTATGGATCATCCTGGTGCTGCCACGTGTCTGAATCATATGACGCCATCGCAAGACGACGGGTTTTGCATCGAAAACGTGCAAACGATTCTGTTTTGGTCCGTCTTGTGGATGGCCTGGACAGTGTTATGTGGCCTCTTGGCCTATGGATTGTCCATAGTCACCCCCTCGAATTCGACTGGCGATGCGCAACATGGTGCCTACGTTCAGGAAACAACCGCTCGCCAGGCATAAGCACACCATCCAGCGCTAATGTAATGCACCATCCTTTTGAATATACACATTCGCCATAACACTGAGTATCGTACGATCCTTACAAGTCATATCATAGTACGCCTCTCCTACCTTACCAACTCCCCCCCCTCTATTATGACTTCCTCCATATGGACATCGCCCTTCCACCCCGGGTGATCTCTTCACACTCCCTTACCCATCCAACGTAGCTTGCCTGTATAAGCTACCAGTAATACATCATCATCATCACAAGTCATACATATCATAGTACAGTACAGAGAACTCAGTTGCCCACTTTATAACGTTAATCTACGCGTTTATGTTCGCGAAGGCTACGCTGCTATGACCATCTTATCGATAAGATTGGGCGACGTTGTGCAGTGACTGTAGCCCATCTATGCAGCGTACAGCATTTTACAGTGTTGTTGATAGTATTGTTTCAGAGTGCTCTTTGCTATGAGGCCAAGCATGTACAGTACGTTCGAGTGCTGTTCTAACTTAAATAGAACAGTTTGTCTTATTATGAGCCAAAATTTGGAGTTTTTTGTGCTGCTTCGCCCAATCGATCGACCGATTGCTTGGACTGAATATTATATGACAAAATAGTCAAGTGTCACACTAATACACGTCATACACTAATTCAATGTTGTATGGTTGAAAGAGGATTTGATTGGTCCTTTGATTCGTGATGTGGGTTTTGATTGGTCGATCGATTGTCTGTCGATTTATGTGGTGCTTGCTGCTGCTCATATTCGATTGAGCATTCCAATTTCGACTTTTTTAATACTATTATAGTATGAGTTAATTGCTCCGTGAATCTAACGATAAATCGATCGATGTGTGTCATCTTGCGTTGTCATCTGTCTTGGATTCGTCATCGTGGTGATGGGGACTACTAGTCCTCGACGACGACCGTAATGCTTCAATCGTTTGGTCTCTCTATCGAACAATAATAGTTTCATTGTCGATAGATAAATATATCTGTCGACCCAAAGCCTTTATATATATATATACCTGTTCCAGTTCGACTTCGTACTTGGCGGCAAACTTACGAAACTTGCTGCGCGATTGCTCCAATTGCTACAACAATACAAAAAACCCATTCAACGCTAACAATTCACCCACAAATAATATATATATAACTAAATTCCCAGCCAAAAAACGCCAATTTCATTGTACTTGAATCGTGGCATCCTGGCGACTCAGCCGCGCTTCCAAGCTCCGGCATCGCTCTTCTGCTTCTTGCATCGTCTGGGAACCCGCGCTCGTGGCAGGACTAGTACCCGCGTTCCTCCGACTAGTATTACTACCGCGGCTACTAGTACTCAAGCGTTGACTCGTCGTTGCCGGTGAGAACGCCACGCCCTGGTTCAGCGCGTGCACGAGCGCCGCCTTATCCTCTTGGTGCTGCGTCGACTGCATTTGCAAAGTGGCCACTTGACTTCGAACACTCGCCAGCAGCGCCTCCAATCGCTGCTTGTCCAGACCCAATTGTGCCACTTGATTGGTCAGTTCTGTCCGATCGTGGACGCTGTTGTGCAGTCTGATGATGTACATACACATGTTAAATACAAACATACACTCGTCATCGGAACGTCACTCACGAAACAAAACCAGCTTTGGCCAGATTTTTAGTTAGATATGTCGTTTCGTACAAAGACCAATATGTACAGTATTGTGCTTTCGAGTGAAATTTCGTGTTGTGGCGTGGTTTCTCGTTGGAATTTAAATCGATTTGATTGGCTACTTCAGATGGGCTCAAAATTATTAACCAATCAAAACCTTCTAAATGGAATTCAACCAATCAGATCGATTGTGGATCGGTTTGGTCGGCGCGATTCGATTGCACCCCCTCCCCAAATTTGTATCAAAACGACAATACAGTTTGTCGTTGAGAAAGTGTAAAATGTACACATGTAACGATATGATTCAGTAAAATATATGATAATATATAAACAAAGAAATAAGACTTAGTATTTATAATACTAAAAAATGTTCCGATTTGTATGCGATGGTGCAAAGGTACTACAAATACTAGTAGTAGCACCCACAATCAAGAACCACAACCAATATATACACAATCACCCAGATCACAACACCATGCGACTATGTAGCCCACAATATATATATCTATATATATATATATATCGAGCCATGCGTACTTTTGTCGAAAAAACGACAAATATATATATATATATATATCCTTACTTTGCTTGAATATGACGTGTCATATGTTGGTTCGTACATGCATCCAGGCAAACACAACACCATACGACTATGTAGTCCACAATCTCCATATATTATATATATATATATATAGATCGAGCCATTCAAATGTTTGTAAAACAAATTCAAATATATATATCCTTACTGCGCTTGGAGCGACGCCAGCCGTTGATTCAACGACGAGTTGGTCGCGGCAGACTCGACGCGGTCTTGGGCCAGTTCAGTGGCCACCGCATGCTGCGAACTGAGCGCCCCAGACAGCATCTCGTGGGATCGCACTGTGGACAGTTGTTTGTCTAATATAAAATATACTAGTAAAACCCAAGATATAAAACGGGTACAGTAATAATATGGACCTTGGAGTTGCTGTAGTTGCTGTGTGAGTTGCTTGATTTGAGTCAAGTTGACTTGCACTTGCATGTCGAGGTCTGTCACTTGCTGGGCAGCAGCGTCTCGTTCGCGAACCACTTCTTGCAACTTTAAACCACAAGATAATAGTACAATATGAGGCAATAGCACATCAGATATATATATATATATATATATATATATATATACAGTCTGTAAACCACAAGATAACAATACAATATGAGGTAATAGCAAATCAGATATATATATATATATATATATATACAGTCTGTAAACCACAAACAATATGAGGTAAATATATATATATATATACAGTCTGTATAGTGTTTCAAGAGTGTTGTGAAAGGCAAAAAAGCTGCTCGATATAAAGGATATTCTCTCTTCCACACTATTTGTGTGACACCGCATGTATGCGACACTGTGGACAGAACCACCACTTTAATGGTCCAACGTTGGTGGTAGACAATTGATATTCGACCAATCAAAACGCACCACACGAATCAAGTGGCCAATCAAATCATCCACTTTTCGACTTATTCAACATTGAAGTAGTGTGTGCCTAAATATTTAGTGTGATATACTTGGACCGATATATCGTTACATACAACAGTCAAATCATACAAAACAAATCGATCGATAGATTTGGCGATTCAGCACAAATGTCCAAATTTTGGGTACAATATATATATATATATATATATATACCTGATGGCGTAGTGCAGCGTTGGCGTTGCCGAGCTCAGTTCGCGTGCTATTCAGTTGCCGGTGGGTGCCTTCTAACGCATCCATTTCGACCACGAGAGTCCGATACGTTTGCTTCAAATCGTTCAGTTCAATCATACACCCGTCGCGCTCCCGCTCCACTTGTCGGACATGCTGATGGAGGCTTCGTATGTCCCCCGACATTTGGTCTATATATAAAATATAGAAATATCAAATATGATGGATATTCACAACCAAAAAACAGCGACATACACGAGGACATATGAAAACACAAAAAGAACAATCATACTATCTATATATACAGCATCTTTCAAACAATACTTTGCCATGTTTTCTTTATAATCAATACAACCACCACACAAACATACAATATCGACGTTTCACGTATCAAAGTGTCTGCAATCGGAGATATCATAAAATAATACATCCAAGAACATTTACTAATATATATATATATATATATATATATACTCAATACATCGAAGAACACATTTACTATAAGATATATATATACTCCAAGTAGGATTACGAACGCGCCATATGAATTTCGTTCGACTTCCCATTGTATTTGAATATTTAAAAAATATATAATTACGACCGTGCTACATACTTTTAATTCGACTTTTTATTGTATTATTATTCCACGTGCATCATTCAAAGCGAATGGCCTCCTCAATACAGTACAAATACAAACCATATATACATATACTGGGAAGGACGGAATGCAACGCCCACCGAAGATATTTGTGTGTCACACTTTGAGTTATCCAATCATACTCAAGTATCAAAATTGGTGACTCTCATTAGCTATAATTTAAATAATGAAAATCAATAAAAATGTTAATCGGAAATCCTTCAGGTACTCATAACCTATTCTAATCAGTTTCACTGTACTAGCTATTGAATGCTGCATTC